CATTTTTCCTGAAGCTTTCCAGGAAAACTTATCCCCCCTCCTAGGAGCAGGATTTAGATAGATCCTAGCATTCAGGAAGAGCCTTACCAAGCAAGCAAAATTTTCAGAGAAAAGTCCCGACAGCTTCTCCACATCTGCTGGATGAAGTTATCCCCAGGTAAATTTAGGCTTGATAAAGAGAAGGCACTCCCAAAGAGAAGAATTTGTAAGAGACACTGAACTATTTGCTGCATTAGTTATAACCAAGACTAATACTTTAGTCAGTTTAAGTTTGACTTGTGAAATTAGATTTTAAGTCTACTTGGTTTGGGAGATGTTTTACTGTTCACTACAAGTTTAAAGTGGGATAGCCAAGCTTCTAACAGAAATGATTTAATCTCTAGACTAGTGGTTTTATTAAAAAAAAAAGACTACAGCCTATAAGCAGATAGTCCCTCCTAGCGTGTTACAGAAAGATGCAGAGAGAACTAAGCAAGAGGAGAGAAGATTAAGGAAAGTGGTCCTACAATTTTAACAATTAGGATGGAGAATCTGATCTAAAATAAGAATCATTTTAGTCAAGTAGTCTATTTTTCTTAAGTTATTACTACAGTTCAAGAAATCATTGTTTTAATTAAAAAAGTTACCAAGGTTCTTTAAGAAATAGAAGAATCTTTATTGTTTAAAGCAATATGTAGAGTAAACTGACAAGCAAGTCCCTATGGAGAAATACAATACAAAGAACTAGTGGTTTAAACAGTTTAAGTAGGTGCATGAAACTTAGATGTTTACATGAGCCAGTTACCAGCACACCAGATCTAGTATTTTTATCAGAGCCAATTTCTTGGACAAATCCAGTGGTTTTCCTTAAGTAATATTCCTACACCTTTAAAGAGAAGGAGAGAGTTTAGTCTGAAATTCAGGAATAGAGTTTGCATATAGAAACCTGGGAGACCGAAGACGTTAGATGGACAAAGAAAATAGCTGCGATAAATGCCAATTAAAAAGTACATAACTGGCACATGTAAACACCAACAATCACTGGAGTTCTACAAAAAAGACTTTCTATGAGAACTGTTGTATTAAAATATCTTTAATTGCAATTTATGTTTTTGGAGATATTCTCAGATTAAGAATTTAAGTTTGAAGCTAGTTCCTCCCATTTACATTTCTAGTTTTTGGGTTTTTTTTTTTAAAAAGATGTTTTGATATTAGACTAAGGCCTGAATTTTGCTTGCAACAAGCATTAGTAAGAGTTATCCAACCATTCTTGCTCTTTTATTCAGCGTCCTAAATATACATTAGTTACTATGAACTCCAACCATGTTACTGGGAACCAAATTAGTATTACTGATTGTTTTTAGAGAGCATAACCAAACATGCCACAAGCAGCTCTGTATACCCATAAACAAACATTACCATGACAATTCCAAGCCAAATTTTAAGAAAAATAATGAACCAGCTTTCCCTGTTAAACTCAGTTGTCCTATGTTCATTAATATGACCAATCCACGTTTATTATAACACAAAACTCATTCCTTTTAGGAAAGGTCACCTTTTTTATGCAGTGCACCATGAATTACACCACACTGATTAGGAGACCAGAGAAACTTAAAAATATACAGTGAGGGTTAGTCTCTCCATAGCTTCAGTTTAAGGAACAGTCCAATTGCACTGCAGTTCTGTTTAAGTACAGGACCTACTCCAAACAGCAAGGAGAAAGGTGCAGTGGGTCAGCCTCAGAGACTTATGCTTTACTTTTGCATTCTTCACAGCATTAGTAATTCCTACACACAAATGCACAATATTACATCTCTGCACAGCACACGAAGCACAAAGTACATGAATCAGCAGATGAGATGTCATCATGGGACAGTTACAATGCAAGTTTTGATTAGCAAAGAACGATTTTAATATGGAGATTTAAAAACAGCTGATGTTGTGACAATTGATTTTGGATCATTAAACTGAGAGCTTCTTTAACAGACACTCAAAGGAAGTGAGCAAGACAGACTTTCTGTGCAAGGTATGATACAAAGTTAAGTGCCCTTTAAATTCTAGAAATACTTAAGGTTCTTATTCCCTTTTTAAGGCTGGTGCCAGCAGGAATACTGTACTACTTTAGTAGAACTGTGTCTGTTTTGGTATCTTAGGGGATGCCAGGTTGTAACAGGCACTAGGTTTCTGGTCACTTGTACACAACAGTTTTCTAAAGCATTTAGAAATTGGGTTTTAACTCCCACATATACCAATTGAAGTTTAAGTTAACCCATTCATTTAGATATGCAAACAAGAGGAATGGCTCCTGAAGCTACCAAAATAAGAGGGAGCTATTGCAGCTCTTGCTGGAATTAAGTGGGTTACTACTGTCACTTTAGCATAAACTTGCTTGAAAAAACCATTAGTATGGCATTTAGTACTATGAGCCAGAAAAGAGATACTAGGCACTCTGAAGTCCCTGGCAAGTATTCCAGGTTTAATACACAGTTAAAGGCAGCCAGGTTACCCTGCAATTGTGACAGTAACTAAGGAATGCAGGTGAGACAAGTACAAGTTTAATGCAATTTTACAAGTTGCCCAATGCATCATATTAGTGCCCTAATTTAGACTGTTCCCTTTTCAGACTGTTCCCTGCTTAGCTTAGTATTTGTAAAATGCAGACATGAATCCCAAGTAATTGTTTGCAGATAATATCTTTACCCAATAATTAGTCAAATAAGCCTTATTTGCTACTTGGAGTACAATTATGAAACCCATGTTTTTCTTAGTTCAGGAAGGAGAGTTACATTCCCATTCTTTTATCTGACAACACACCGAAAGAGAAAGCACCCACAGTCTCCAGCCCTAATTAGATAATGCAAATGTTTACTTGAAGTGGTTTGTTTGCATTTGGAAGCTTGCACTTGCTTCATTAAAGTGAAACTGGAACAGTGATCACATTCAGATTTACAAGGTTTGATATCCAGCATAGGTTTTTCTTCTGCCAATTATGTAAGCGATCACTATAATGACAATCAAGCCCGCAAGAGCAGCACCAACAATAATTGGTATTAGAATGGTGTCATCATCCAGCGAACACTCCTGGGCTGTAGATGAGAGAAAGGTTGCGACAAGGAATAAATAAAGAGACAGCATGCTATTGTACCTCTCTTGGGAAACAAAAATATTTTCCTTAACATGAAGGCTCAAAGTTACAAGCAAGTATTTATTATACCTGTAGAGTTTAGTGAGAAAACGGTACAGATCATAGGAAGTTTCCCTATGTGCTAGTTTATAATTAGCAGATTGGGGCATTTTTGGTGGATACAGTAGCTTATTTACTAAAATGATAAACGTTTAAGAGGCATTAGAGAGGGAATTGTAGAGGATAAATTTTTATGTCAGCTAACCCAAACTTGTATTAGATGAATGAGTAATTGCAGTATCACAATTCTATTGGAGATTTAAATACAAAGCTAGAAAAAGCCAGATTAGTGTAAATCAGGCTAAAGTGTACACAGATGTTTTAAAGGAGTACAAAAGCGGCGTGGTTTCAGTTTTGAAAAGCCTGCTGAAGCGGTCATAAGCTAACATGTGGATGATGAAGTGGCTGTAACAGGGAGTGCCAATTACAATCAGAACTCATTTAGTAGTATTTAAGGAATTCAACGTTAACATAAGAACGCCCAACCTAGGTCAGACCAGAGGTCCATCTAGCCCAGTATCCTGTCTTCCAATAGTGGTCAATGCCAGCTGCCCAGAGGGAAATGAACAGAACAGAACAGGTAATCATGTGATCCATCCTGTTGCCCATTCCCAGCTTCTGGCAAACTGAGGCGAGGGACACCATCCCTGCCCAATAGCCATTGATGGCCCTAACCTCCAGGAACGTATCTAGTTTTTTTTAAACCCTATTATAGTCTTGGCCTTCACAACTTCCTCTGGCAAAAAGTTCCACAGGTTGACTGCACGGTGTGAAGAAATACTTCCTTTTGTTTTAAACCTGATGCCTATTATTTCATTTGGTGACCCCCTAGTTCTTGTATTGTGGTATTTACTTTCTCCATAACACTCACAATTTTCTAGAGCTCAGTCATATCCTCCCCACACCTTAGTCTTATTAATCCCTCCTCATACGGAAGCTGTTCCGTACCCCTAGTCATTTTTGTTGCCCTTTCCTGAACCTTTTCCCAATACCAATATATTACTATGATGAGAAGTCTTTTAAAACTGGATTTTTTAAATTTTCTTCTTTTAAAGGCACACTTCCACCTTCCATCCTAACTTAGGTATTTTATCAGTCTAGACATGGATCTAAACCCAGAAGTGGGCTGCAAGCACTACTGTAACATATACCTAGTTTTCAAGTACTATTTACAGAATTATGCAGAAGTGCATTTGGCCTTCCACAATGAGATCTAGAACTGTTTATACTGCATCTCTTCAGAATTACTGAGAAGACAGATTAGGTCTTTCCATACCCCTGGCCAATGCAAGGTTGTCCTTTGCAGTAAGAGCTTTCCTTCTTTTGGACCCCCATCACCTGAATCATCCTTTCCCCCCTCCAGTATGATGAGAAAAAGCTTGGGTTACATTCAGCAGAAATGCTCTTTTTCCAAGCTTCATCCCATTATTTCTTGCAGCAGTCTGGGCAGTCTCCTTCACTCCCAGCATTTGCAGATTTCAGTAAGTCAACAGTGGTTCTCTATGGCAATCTCCTCCTCCCCCCACAGCCATAAAGTCAATGTCTTTAGCCCCTTTTGTATAAGCCTAAGGGGCTGTTGCCAGTTCAGAGTGAGTTTAAGAAGGGAGGTTTCTCCAAGGCAAAACACTGATAAAAGCAAGGTGTTCATATCAACCAGGATAGAAGGCTGGTGCCATTTCCCAAATAGAAATTTTGGAGTCTCATTTTAGCTTAAGCAAAAATAAAGTACTGGCCAATGGATTAGTTATGCTAGTATCTATAAAGCTTTTATCCACTCCTATGTTATGAGTCTTATTAGAGCACCCTACAAGTCTGGTTGATTTGGGTTTGTTCTTACCTTTAGAATACTTGTTGTCTTGTACTCTGAATGGCTGGATCCTTAGATCAAAAGTATGTATTTGAAGCTCTTCAGTCACCAAAACAGTCTGCTCTTTTTGGCACATGTAGGAACTGCCTAGGAAGGTGTCCCAGATGCTGAGGTTGTTGTTTCCAGCATTTAAAGGTTCTTAAAAAAAGAAAAAATACTCTAATATGGACATTTGCTGATGAGTTTTCTATGGCCTAAAAAGTCTATTTATCAAGAGTGCCAGGTTCAAAAGGTACTACCAAGATCATAAGCCTATTCAGAGAAGGCTACCGAGTCCATTTCTCGGCATTATTTCCTCTGAAATGTGGTTATGTAGCAGTTTAGAGGAGAGTTACAAGTTTGTTGACTACAGGAAGTCTGTCAGTACAGAAGAGGGGTGAATAATTAAAGCTGTTAAATCTTCTGAAAAATGTAAGTCTATAATCTACTCACACACGTCCTTGCAGTTCATTACTGCAACACAAAACTGCTTAGGTGTCTAAACTTTGTCTTAGACATCTTGTTAATTACAGAGATTGCCAACATAGTAGTAGGCCAGCATGATCCCTTTTAAAGAACACATTTAAGAATTTTAAAAATTAAAAAACTTTGGTTTCTGAAATACTACAGAGTGAGAATTCTCAGTTATCTGGAAGAACTTGGAAAGATAAGTTTTTCTTCCATATAGGAGAATAGTTACCTTAGATGTGTAAGACAAATGTCTAGAACAGTGGCTCTCAAACTTATTTCATCACACACCCCTTCTGTGTGTCTGTAATCCTTTATGGCTGACCCCCCACCTCCAGATACATATACTGGGCATCCAGCTCTGCACTAGCACAGAAGTAAGGGTGGCAAAGTGAAAAGTGATATTTCTGAATATCCACTTTTTACAGCAGACTTCGTCCCCCATTGCCACCCTTACTTCTGTGCTGCTACTGCTGGACCGCTGTGAGGGGGCTCCATCTGTCTGTCCATCCCTCCCCTGCAGTCTACTTTATCCCCTATCCTGCCTCCTGGGTGTGCACAGCCCTTCTGCATGAGCCCCAGCTGCCACGGGCTGACAGCCAGAGTTTTGGGGGGCCCCCTGCAGGGCCCACAGTTTGTGCTCTCTTGACAAATTCCTGTACCTCCTACGTCATAGCTTGAGAACTGCTGATCTGGAAGAATATGCTTAAGTCTTATAGGTTGCACCTCTTTGCAAAGAGCTGCTCACTTAGGGTTCTCATACTAAAGATGGTCATCTCCTTTCCCCAATAACTGATTTTTAAGAACTTTACTGCACTTCAGAGGTAGACACGGATATGTGCTACAGTCGTAACAAGGCCAAAATAGGATAAGGAAAGTAGCAAGTTACGGCACTCTCCAAAGCAATTTGTTACTATAGCTAGTCACTGTAGATTTGACTATGGAGTATGAATTAATATTGGTTTAAAAATTAGTTGACTAGTATTTACTAAATATAGTTAGCATGCAGTCACTGAAGTGCTTTCTTTAAGCCAAATAGTATCTTACCAGAGCCATTTATAGAACTGATCAGGGTGATGTTCACTTCTTTCAGATAGAATCTTTGTGTGTTTGCACTTGTGTTTTTCTGTTTAAGAGAAAAAAATCCCATTGGTGTTAAAATTGAAGGGTTTATCCCACACAAGTACATATATATTTAGAAGATTACCTCTGCAGTATGCACTTTTAAAACTACAAGTGTGAAAGCATTTACTGACAAAGATGACACTAGTGCAGTCAGTTTAATAGAGAGCCTATTTACTGTACTGAGCATGTTACTGGAAAACAGACTCCTAGAGAACAATCCTCATTTTGCCACTAGGTAACCTTGGGAAGTCAATTAAGAGACTCAGTTGCTTCACCTGTAGAGTAAGATACCAGCCACCTATACAACTCTGTTGGAAACAAGCTTTTAAGATACAGGCATTATGTACGAAGTGTTTTGACATAAGAAATGAAGATTTAATTGGAAGGTTAGTGCTCAACTGTAATACGTTACTTACAACAGCAAAGGTGAAATCAATAAACCTGCTGTTGCTGTCATTCAATCGCAGAGTAGCAGATGTGTTGCCACAGCTACCAGTGACATAAGTTGTCTTTGGGTTGATGTTAACCAAAACAGGCTGAAATTAAAAACCAAAACACTTGTCAGTCAAGAGGCTTCTAGCTGTTCAAAAAAGGCATTCTGCTGCTGTCAGAAGGAAGGAACTTCCTATTTCCCCCTCAGTGTTTAATCCTACTCTCTACAAGAGAGAATCATAAACAAGGCGAGTCTTCATGCTAGGGTAGACTGAATCATGTTCAGCCCAGCTATTTAAGTGACACTTAAGGTTAGCAGTCCTGACAAGATGGGGGGGGGCGCGCAGGGGAGAGAAATCTTGCCCACTGACCCTCTCCCCCATTCAGCTCTTTTATGAAGCTGAAGACAGATCCTTCCTTTATTTTGTGCATCAGATAATAGCACAGCTTGAGCAATCAGATGCCTTAATTTGGGCTCCCTCTGCAACCAAGCAGAGCATCTGTAGGTTCCAGCCTTAAAAGCTATTGAAATGCCCTGGTCAGGTTACAATATCAAGATATTCCTCAGCAAGTTACCATTTTAAAAAGGTAGCGTTCTGAATATAGTATCCCTCAATTGATTTGATATACGTATACTAGAGGGGACATTCATAACACTAAAGGTAATGCCAAATATTGGTTAAGTTGTGAGGCTCTAGTTACATATCCATACTTAGGCAAACAAGAAAATATTGCAGCACTCCTCCTCTTTGCTTTTAAGATATTAAAAAAAGCACCTTCTCTTGGGAGACATTCAGTTGCAACCCCAATGTAGCCAGAAGACAGGTTTTATCGCCATCTTTAAGAGAATAGTTTCCAGTGAGTGGTTTCTCCACTGGTTTAGAAGTTGTAGTTGGCAGAGGTGATGAAGCAGTAGTGACAGGTGTAGTAGTTAAGTTGGCAACAGTGGTAGGTGCAACAGTAGATTTATCAGCTTCACATGTAGAATCTGAAAAAAGCAGCGTGTGACTTCCTAGCTACTATATCAGCATGAAGATACATTTTTCATAACATTAAGCAGTTGTCAGAGGTGGTTTGTTACAGATGGCTCTGCTGTCAAGTTTTACGTGGAGGGCGTATTTTGGCCTTTTAAGTCTCCTACAGAGTTTTTTTTAGTCAAATCTTTGATGTTTTAGCATTAAAGCATGCAGTAACAGTTTTAAACAGAACTGTCCTTCCATTAACAGTAATGGAAGAGAAGCTAGTTTCATTCGGCACTGGCAAAGTTAGGAGCAGCATAGCAGGTAAAGAGGTCACCCTGCTGATCTAGCAGATGAAGACAGTTGGCAGAGGAAGTTCTGGCAAGGCTACCAGCTCTAAAGAAAAGAAGCCTAACAAGCCTCTGAAGTGCAATATACTTGTTTTGTGTGGTCTTTAGTAAGACTACCTGCTAGTCACTGTTGTACTGGACATCTGAGGCTCAAAATGTTTGAGTCCTGAACTAAGAGGCAGTATGACTTCTGTTTACAGAGGTACCTTGAGATTCATGATCCAGTTGTAGTGGTACAATCAGTTAAGGGATCAGAGTATTTAAAAATCTCAAGTCAGACAGCAAATACTCATTAGTCAAAATGCAGTTCCTAAAAATTATTATACAGATGCCAAGTGAGTATGCTCCACTGATCTAGTTTCAGAACAGCAGTTGATTCATGATATGAACGAGGACAAATGGAGCTTATACTCATGTTGGTTCTCAAGAGTTTAGGCAAGATAAGCATCAATTCACTATAAGAGTTTGTCATTCACTACTTTACAACATTAAAGTCACTCTGCACTGCAATCCTAAAATGAGAGTTTGGATACAGAACCATCATACACAATTTTAAGTGACTTACCATTTTTACTAACAGTGCCATTCTGAACGAAAGCCTGCAGAGTGACATCCCAGAAGAACTGAGACACATTTGCCACTTCAATAGAGTCAAGGTGATGGCATTTGTAGACAGTATTCAGTTGGACTGGAGGCAGAGTGTCCTTTACAACAACAGTAATTAGTCCTATAAGCAAGAATACAGATTAACCTTCACGTATTTTAGACAAGAAAAATAGTTTACAATTAATACAAGGAACGGGATTCCTGTAAGTTTAGCCACCTTTAACACCTCTGGTACACATTTTTCCCCCCTCACCCCTTCACATATTCATTTTAAGTATTGTAGAGTGGTCCTTTAGCTTACAAAGTTAACTAAACAAGTCTCGGAAAAGAAACTGCTCCTCCCAGCAGGATGCTTCCTTTTAAAATTCTTAAGGTACAGGAAAGGGGTCAAAAGTTAGTTCTTTGCTACTAGCTGTCCAAGATGCACACACTCATATTTAGTCAAGGGTTGTGCATTGTAACAATTTGTATCATAGCACTAGTGTTCTTAGAGACTGAGCAATGCACGTGAAAAATCAGCAAGCACTTAAATTATCCCCATCCATGTTGAGGGAGAGTCTAGTAGATTACTAGAATCTACAATACAGTCATAAAAACAGATAGGATGCTCTTATTGGTCTGCAACACTTGTAAGAAAAAGGGACTGGGGCAAAGGAATGAGTAACTATAAAAACAATTAGAGGGATGGTATATTGCAATAATCATTGTAGTTTATCTTAGTCATTTTTCAGCCACACAAGATAAAATCCCACATATTACCTTTTGTTTTAGCATCTTTAAAGACTGGATCACTGGTGTTGTAGGTAAATGAGATGATGTTTCCCTGATAAGTTTCATTAGTCTTAGTAAAGTTTATACTCCAAGAGTGACCTGCTCCAAATTCTACCGCTAGTAGTGGGGCATGTGTTTTATTGCCACAGGTGCTTCGGTCATGTGTTATGTTGGGAGATGTAAGGTCTAAGGTTGCATTTTTCTAGAAGAGAAAGGTAGTTTAATTCAGACAGACATTCTCCTCATGCTGGAGTATTTTCTGGGAAGTTTCATAATCTTCAAGTGGAAGCTTCCGTAAAACAATTCCTAATGTAAATAAAGAAATGGGAACAGAGAACTGAACTCATAGAAGGGTTAAGAAAGTTACTCCATTCTACACATTGTTCTAGAGTTTACCACCATCTGAATTAGAAAAGTGTTGTGTTTGATTCAGTCATGAGACAACAGAGTTGAAAGATCTAGCCAAAGGTCTTAACTTGCCTGCAATGCCCCGCTAGCATTTAGATAGTACATTACAGCAGTAACTTGAAAGGTCACTCACACCAAGGAAAACTGATGTTTTGCTGAAGTAATTCAGTATGGGTAGCATGGCCAGAACCACACTTAACAGTTATGGTTTTGAGTGAGAACCTGCTACAGGCTTGAGTAGAGCCATGCAGCATGACTAGGGCCCTACCAAATTCAGTGCCATGAAAAACATGCCATGAACCGTGAAATCTGGTCGTGTGCTTTTATCCTAAACTCTACCAATTTAGTATACAGATACTAAAGAGAGGACAAATGTTTCTCAAATTGGGGGCCCTGATCCACAAGGGAGTTACAGGGGGCGTCACAAGAGTTTAGGGGGGTGGTGGTATTTCCACTTCTGCACTGCCTTCAGAGCGGGGTGGCTGGAGAGCGGCGGCGGCTGCTGACCGAGGGCCCAGCTCCGCAGGCAGCAGCACAGAAGGAAGGGTAGCAACACCCTGCCATCCTTATGTCTGCGCTGCTTCTGGCACTGCTCTGCCTTCAGAGCTCAGCTCCCAACCAGCCGCCGCCACTCTCCGGCTGCCCAGCTCTGAAGGCAGTGCAAGCAGCAGCACAGAAGTAAGGACAGCAATACTGCAACCCCACGTGCAATAGCCTTGTGACATTTCCCTGCCCACCAACACAAACACACCACACACTCTTGGGTCAGGGCCCCAAGAATTACAACACTGAGATTTCAGATTTAAATAGCTGAAATCATAAAATCGTAAAATTTTTAAAATCCTAGGACTGTGGAATTGACCAAAATGGACCATGAATTTGGTAGGGTACTAAGCATGACTGAGTAGTGTCATTCAGTTTTAGTAAGGGCTTGGGAATAAATGGTTAGCCTGATACTTAGTCTACTAGCTGGAGAAAAACCTTTAAAACTTATGAGACAGAAAGTGGTTATGTTTTATACTTTACCCTTTTGGATTTTACTCCACTCTAATTGATCATGGCCTCCTTCCCTGAAACATTCAGTGGCTATTGCTTTTCTCTTCTTCCATTTCCTTTACAATATGGTTTGTCTTCCCCAAACTCATTTTTTTTTTTTAAAAGTTGACACTCTCACTGTCACCTATTCCCCTCACATGGGGTTTTAGAAGTGTTCCAGATACAGTCACTGAACTAAACTAAGATGAAGCCAGTCCTGTCTCCTCCTAAGTGTCCAGGAGCCACTTCCATGTGAAAAGCCAATCCTCCTTCTAAATCTGTTGGAAAAGGCATGCTGTTCCTGACCAGAAAGATAGCTTCTGGCTTCATGTATACCCAGATGTTGTAATGAATTATGAGCACTACCCACTTAGCTGGAATGCAAAATGATAATTCATTCTTTGTTCCCTCACCAGAGCCTCCTGGCTAGTGTGATGGCTGTAATGTCTTGCTACTCTACCATTCCTCCTGCCTATCTTCTGGATCAGCCTGCTCCAGGTCTTTTCCCAAGCTCCTGAAGAATGAAACTTGTATCTTATTTTCACTCTTGTCCACATGCTCTGAATAGTAGCAGTGAAGACTTAAATTACATCAATTTTGTTCTGCTGGAAAAGTGTGATCCAATGTATCTGTCACTTAATCTACAGACCAAGGAAGACTCAATTTACGCTTGGAAAGCAATGTTTGCAACAATAAGAACTAGAAGCTTTTAAAGAGTGGAAGATTAGAATACAGTGAGATTCAAAAGTTTCCTAATCACCCCCAAACAAGTAGGTTGAAGCCCTTGTTTTAGAGTTAAACATGATTCAGCAGAGAGTTTAAAATTACTAGATATGAGTTATTTCTAACGAAAATATCTTAAGTTTTATTACCCAGTGTTAACTCAGAGGACCATCTAAGAAAGAGCAAGAAAGTCAAACTAACCTCTTGTCCAAGAGGAGTAACGTGTTACTTAAAATGTAATATGCCAACACTAACATATTACATAAGTTAAACAAAAACTCTGACTGCCCCTTTAAAAAAGGGGAGATCAGCTATTTAAAAGAGGTAAGCTTGACTTATTGTTCAAACTTACCAGGACTAGCTACAAGGGTAATTGTTTTGAAGCTTCTCAAGACTGAGCAGATAAGTGAAATGGATAGTACATCCAATAGCAGAAGTTAACACTAAATTCAGTACTTACATATTCACTACTGTTTGTTTCATATTTTATCAAGAAGCTCATCATCCATTTTGCATATATGCATGTAGTATTGGAGTGATCTTTCACATCTACTTCCACTGCATGTGACTGGAAAAAACCTACAATACATACAGTAATTGTTTGCTTGTAAGAGGTTGATATTTCATTTTATTGTATATTTCACAAATTAATTCATTACATCACAAAATGTTTTAAACAAAGCAAGTTCTTTCAGGCTTTTTGCTAGAGACATGAAGAAAATTACGTTATTTTCTAATACTAGAATTAGAAACAGGATATAACTGCTGGATTTTGAAGTTAAAATTGTAGAAGAGTTCTGGAATTTTATCCAGTCCTGATAAATAAGGAATCTTTTGCACATCAGTTGTCTGATATAGACAAATTTAGCTCTGCAGAATTTGTAGTTTGCTTAAAGCAGCTAGAAAGCAAGAACAAGTTAAGAAAATTTGAGCACACTGAACTTTGTGCATGAGCTAAGCAGCTTGTCAAAGCTTAAGAGGTTACGTCAATAATTCATTTAATTAAGGTTTTAACCCTGAAGATATGTTTAGTACTTCAAGAGAGAATTCCCTGAACTAGTTAGTGAGGTAATGGCTGTAAGGAGTCATCATGGTCTATTTTATCAACAATTATGACCTAAGATGACCTGCAAAGGAAGAGAGTTTGTGCTCCTTTTAAAAATTGTATTTTGAGTTTCTGGACTTCAACTGAAGAGCTTGGATAGCAAATTTCCCCTTCTGACGCTTCATAAATGGTCAGTGCTACAGGTATTTAAAAGTCTAACAAATCTGACTGAGGTGGCACTTCCCTTACTTTCACTTTCTTGATATCTGCAATATTATGCGTCTACTAGCTGGCTACATTCTTCAGAAGAGAGGTTAGAAATGTAGGTCTTGCCCAATATAAAAAGTGACGCATTCCAAGTAAAAAGAGTAAAACAAGGCTTGTTTTAATAGCATAGGTCACCTTAAGTTTCCTTTGTACAAAACACTGAGGATTTTTTTTTCTTTCAGTTATTCTCAAAGGCATTTTGAGATGCAGTGTAAAAACCCACTAACACTGGGAACTGGTTCAGCTTGCAAGCTCCCTAGTTGCTGACAGGTAAGTCGGCTTTAATGATATTGGACTACAGATTGCCACTGTTTTCAGAAGATTTTATATTCAGAGGACTGTAGTCAACAAAATGCCAGGAAAAACCTGTCTTAATCATATCCTATCATTACTGACAAGCCAGAACGGATTTATATACGTTCTATGGTATGAGTAGTACCAAAGACCAGGTTTGAGAAGCTTTATCAAAGGAACTTTGGAACATGGTAAATTCTACTGGTTATGTAGAAAGAATTTGTAGTGGTAGAGAGATTACACCACATTAGGGCGATAACACTGATCTGCATTTGGATCCAAGGTTATAGTACAGTGAGTGATTAAAATTCCAGTTTGGTTTATCCAAAAGCATAAGAGTGTTGAGAAATTTTAGTCTAAGCACTGCAATGAATAAGCCAGCCTACCTATGCATTGTTATTTGTTAGTCCCACTTCAGTGTTCAGAAAAGCCAGTTAAAACACTCTTCCTTTCTTCCCTCCCTTCTCCTCCAAGAAAAAAGTGTTAGTACTTAGGGATTTATTGTTTTGGCATACATCCACCTTTCCTCTCTCCCCCACAACTACCTTTAAAAACTTTGTAATGGACAAGGTTTCCAAAATAATCTTCATTAGAGGAAAGCACTTAAGCAGTGAATGAGCTGTAACGACTTGCAAAATCTTGTCTTTTAAGGTTTCAGAGTAGCAGTCCTGTTAGTCTGTATTTGCAAAAAGAAAAGGAGTACTTGTGGCACCTTAGAGACTAACAAACTTGTTTGAGCATAAGTTTTTCGTGAGCTACAGCTCACTTCATAATGCATCCGATAAAGTGAGCTGTAGCTCACGAAAGCTTATGCTCAAATAAGTTTGTTAGTCTCTAAGGTGCCACAAGTACTCCTTTTCTTGTCTTGTCTTTTAAGTAAGTGTCCAAGCTTCCTTGCTAGACCTCATATGTACTAGTCAGCCTGCAGATATACTTACTCCCCCTTTTCTTTAGGGAAAAGTCTGCTCCCACTACTAGACAAGTTTCTTTTTTGCCTACCCATAACATTGCCTCCCTTCACTATGCTCCTGCCTGCGCCCCCCCATATGCTACCAGATAGCTTTGAGTTTAGCTGACTGCAGCCATTACAGAGTCTCCAAGGGCCTCTGCATTTAACCATTACCAGAACTTGTTCAAGTTTCCAGTCTCTACCAATACAGTTTGCTGAAACTCAATTGCACCCGGTCACAGAAAGTTCCACTTTGATGTGGTTTTCTACCATCACACATTCAGCAAGAGGGATGCTTAATGTTGCTAGATGAAAGTGTCACCACTATTTCCTGCTCTATATAAGAAAGCAAGAAGTTTTGACAACACAATCTTATCGCAAGATGTTAGTAAAAAACTGGTCACATGGAAATCAGGCCAAGAGGTACAAAGATAAGAATGGCAGTTATACACAACTCCATAATCTTCATGTTGTCACCATCATAGGGTACATCATGGCTTTGTTATTCAAGTCCACAGCATGATTTGTTAAAAAGAAAATATTTATCATGAACATTTTTATGAGCCACAGAGCACAACACATGCTAGCACTGTAATTACTATCTTCATATTGTCTTGAAAAACAGCATGGATTGGGCCAGAGACTCATAGCAAGGACTCAGTTCTATTTCGTGCTGCTGACTTGCTCCAGTAAGTTTCTTTGCCTCTATGCCTCATTCCCATTTTACAGATAAAGAAAGCCACTTATGAACCTTCATAAAAGGCTAAGATGTTTCAATAAAGGTGCAACTGAAGTGCAAAATTATCCTTTTGCCTTGCAGCTGGACTATTCCAATAAGGAAGAGCAGAATGGAAGCAGAATTTAGAGCAACATCCTCTACTTATTGGAAAGATCAGTCTTTTTAGAGGTTATTTAGTGATTCTGAAGAATACCTAATGTAGGGTGGTCCCTACTCAAAAGCATAAGTTGGATACCTAATACTCAAGCCAATGTTCTCTTTACCACCCACCACAACCTACAGAAATAAATCTGAAAGTACTTGCTTTGCCAGAAGTTGTGTGTTCTGATGTGGCGGTGGATGCAGCAGAAACTAGGGTTACCATATGTCCGGGGCTTCTGGACATAGCCTCTTTTTTAAGCCTGCTTTCTCTGTCTGGGGTTTTCAAACAACATGGGGGGGGGGGGCAGAAAAGGAGAGGAGGAGGGTGGGATTACAGAGCAGAACAAGCTGCATCCCAGAAAGAATGCTGATTGGTTCATTCCCCTGCAAGCCACAACTGCTGGATCCCACCCATCCAGTCCTGGGGGAGCAGTCCCCAAAGAGCTTCAGCTGCTCTGCCACCATGACAGGGAGTAACACTGTCCCCCACCTCAAGTTAGTATCCCCCAGCTTCCGCCCCCCATGTCCTCTTTTTGGGAACCTGAAATATGGTAACCCTAGCAGTAGCAAGTGGAGGAACTTTACACTACAAAGCTTTTGCTGGAATAGCTATGTCAGTAAGGGGCGTGATGAGGTGTGATTTGTGACTGACAGCTGTTCCAGCAAAAGTTGGTAGTATAGATTAGGCCCCTGATCCAAAAGAGCAAAGCTACTTTGAGAAAGAGGTTTCACATGCTGAGCTTCTGGTGGAGACCAGGAATCACTCTCACTTTGGTTTAAAAAGAACGAGTACTTGTGGCACCTTGGAGACTAACCTTTATTTAAGCATAACCTTCCATGGGCTAAAGCCCACTTCATCACATGCATGCAGTGTAAAATACAATAGGAAGATATAAATAAATTTGTTAGTCTCTAAGGTGCCACAAGTACAACAAATTTATTTATATCTTCCTATTGTATTTTACACTGCATGCATGTGATGAAGTGGGCTTTAGCCCATGGAAGGTTATGCCTAAATAAAGGTGTTAGTCTCCAAGGTGCCACAAGTAATCCTCGTTCTTTTTACTGATACGGACTAACACTGCTCCCACTCTGAAACTTTGGATTAAGTCACCCAATATGAAAGGATAGTGCACCAAAAGCACTACAAGAAAAAAGAAAAATCACATTCATCATAAAATCATAGAATATCAGGGTTGGAAAGGACCTTAGGAGGTCATCTAGTCCAACCCCCTGCTCAAAGCAGGGCCAATCCCCAAATCCCTAAGTAGTCCCCTCAAGGATTGAGCTCACAACCCTGGGTTTAGCAAGCCAATGCTCAACCACTGAGCTATCCACATCTAGTAAGGTGTTGGGAAAGATGCCACTTAACTTTAACAAACTGAGTACTACTCCAGCAAAGCCTGTACAGTTTTGATTTCTGCTTGGCAACTTATTTGGACCTGCAAAACTGTAGACACAGGTTTGGCTACAAGTAAGAACATGTTTTACAGGAGGAGGCTCTTGTCCAAGGATGGTTACAGTTTTAGAGTGCTCTTCTGGAACACCTAGTACTTTAAGTAGTTAACAAAATTAATGCAATTAGTCCAGAAAGCCAATCCAAATACATTTTGGTATATAATACAAGACAAAAAGACAGGTACTTCTCCCATCTCTTTCCATGCTATTCTCCTATCCCTGTGGGAAGGACAAACCCAGCAACCACAATATCTTCATTATAGTCATGAAGATTAACCTGATAGCACAATTCAGCAAAAATATCAATACACTGTGTCTAGAAACAGCATTGACAACAAGTTCTGAATGCAACCAGCCAGAAGAGATCAAATTCATGGTCATTTTCATTTTTCATAGGATAGCACATCTGGAAGATACAGAGCTGGAACTGATAGGCCCATGACTGTGCTCCCTGCATCAAGGTACACACCTCAATCTAAAGCAGTAGCAAAAGAACCAAAAAAATTAGCCTAAGTTTGTGGTATGGGAAAAACCAGACCTTATATTATGGAGTCAAAACTGAAATGCCACATTAAACAAAGAAAGAGAAGCGGTTAGGTAGACTAGGGAGTATTAAAGAAGCATTTCACAGACACGATAGAGCTTTGTCTACACTGGACTTCCCTCAGTAAAATATTAGCGGTTCAGGGGTGTGAAAAACAGCCCCCCACCCCCCAACAACAACAAAAGTTTTACTGACAAAAAGCGCCGGTGTGAAGTGCGCTTTGTCGGCAGGAGCGCTCTTGCCCTCAGAGGTACTGCATTTCGTTGGGGAGGTGGGGGGGGGGGGGGGGATTTTTTGTTGCCGGGAGAGCTCTCTCTCCTGCCGACAAAGAACGGCTACCCTGCGCACCTTTTAGCGGCACAGCTGTTGCTAAAAGGGGCATCGTATAGACACAGCCCTCTCCACCCACTGTCCCTTGCACCAGGGCCTTTACTCCTGGGGCTGCCCGCACCGGATTAAGTAAGCACCTGGGCCTCGCGCACTTGTGTGCGACCTCAGCAATGCAACTCCTGGCCGCGGGGGGGGGGGGGGGGCGGAGACACACCGCCCCTCCCCACGCAGCCATTGCCCAGTGCGCACCCTTGCCCCTAAATAACACACTCCCTCTACCCCCCCAAAATCCACCTGACACCCCGCACAGAGCATGCCCCTTCCGCAGAGAGCCCCGAACCACCAAATCCCCCTCTCCAGGCCCCCCCCACAAAATCCACCCCCCCCAAAACCCTGAGCCACATCCCCTCACGGCACCCCCCACAGCGCCCCCTTCCCCTCACGGCACCCCCCCCCCCCACCGAATACCGCAGCCCCCTGGGCACTCCCCGCCCCCAGGGCATGGCCCCACTCGCCCCCCCCGGGCTGAGGAGCCAACCCCCGCCTCTCCCAGGCCCGGCGCCTCCCGGGCGCGCCGCCGCGGCCCTTCGCAGAGAGGCACCGCCGCGCGGAGGCCGCCAAGCCGGGCACTCACGGGGGCTGCCGAGCACGAGGAGCAGGAGGCAGCAGCCGGACAGGCTGAGGGGCCGCGGCCAGGGGCAGTGCGTCGCCATGTTCACCAGCGCCAGGGCTCTGCGGGACGGACGGACGGGCGCGCGCACTGAGAACGCAAGGCTGGTCATATGAGGGGGAGGTGCCCTCGGCGGGCAGCCAATCACAGAGGCGGCCTCACCCCGCCGCCAATTTTACGGGTCACAGGTATAGTCCACCTCATAAATGACGCGGGCGGGCAGGTCTGGCAAACCAGGGATGCAACATAGGGCTGGGGTTTAGCTCCCTCTTTCGTCCCATCTCAGAGTAAGAAAAAGGGGCTGCATGTTATCTCTATAGGGCAAGGGTGCATCAGGCTGAAACAACTGTCATCCCTCAAAAATCATTCCCCACTAGAGGAGTAATGTAATATAATGTGTTCTAATTAATGGGGCTGGTAGCACCACCTACTAAGGTTGCCTAACACTTCGCATTCTAAGACCCTGTTTTGTGTTGCTTATAATGTTGCCAAATTTTAACTGTTTGGGATTAAATTTTCCATGCAGCATGTTTGTCTCAGGCCGTTTTGTTTTGTTTTTTTTTAATTTCATCCAAAACCGTTCGGCCATTTCTCAGGATGACACTGAGAATTTTTAGTGCTCCCATGCTTTGGAACTAAGAAATACAATTTGAGGGGTGGAGGGTGTAAAGCCTTTGTGTCAGGGAGGTGCCATTTGCTGGTCTTGTGAAAATACACTCAAATTTGGCCAGGCTATAAGCCTTTCAAAAATGGCAGTTCACTCATTTAGTAGAGACTTTTTTGTTTTTAGGAACTAAATTCCTCAAGAGTCTGCCCTCACTGAGCACCTTGAACTTTTCACGGTTCTGAGTCAGGACCAGACTGTGCATGTGCCATCTTCTCACAGCACTTATATGTGACTAGGCTGCACAAGTGCTATCCCCACAGAGTGACAGAGCATGCTCTGCTGCAGGGATACCAGGATAAAGTCAGTCTTTCCCTGTAATTGTTTCTCCTGGAACAAGAGGCCAGGCACCAGAATTGAGAGCAGGAGACCCTGTCTGTCCTATGCTGTCAATGACACCCTTGCTGGTGCCCAGGCAGTGTGGAGGAGGATGCTGCCTGACTGGAATGCAGAAGAGAGAAGAGCTGGCCTAGCAGGAGGGAAATGAGTAGATTTGGACAAGGAGCCTGCTGACACTGGGGCTGAAGGGTTTGGGAGAGAGAAACTGTGACAGAGTTAGTGGGGTGGGGAGACTGGGACTGGCTGGGCAAGGAGACTGGTACTAGGAGCAGGTGAAGGAAACAAGTGGTGACTAGGAGCTCGTTGACTGGGAGGGTAAACACTGAGATTGGACAAGGTGTAGGGGAGACTGGCACTGTTTGGACAAGGAGACTGGGACGAGCAGCTGGGGGAAGGGGTGGGACTGAGACAGGGAATTGGGAAGGGGGCAAGTATGGGGATTAGACTGAGATTGGATTGAATGAGAAGCCTTGTGAGGGGACTGGGATAAGAAGCCTGAGAAATGGAGCCTGGGACTGAGTAGACAAGGAGCCAGGGATGGGAGAGAGACAGGAGTGGGACAAGGACAGATTGAGGAGCATGGGCAGACAGTGTCAGGCTTGGTGAAAACAGGCAGAACACTCCCTTCCAGAGCCTGAAATGGAACCCAGCATTCCTGAATCTCAATATACCTCTGCTGTCAACAAATAGCTGTGAAACCCACTGTCAAAGCGTGTGTCCCATCCAACCCTAATGCTGGTCAGTGTAGAAGATGACAACCTATTACTATATTGCTATCCATTACTCTGTTAGCTCAAGTGGCAGAGATCTGTGCAGTAGATCTAAAGGTCTGCTTATGTCCCATGTGGGAGTCACTATGATGCCACATGATGGAATTTCAGAGGGGTTTTTTGTTTGCTTTTTTAAAAACTTAAGAAATTACATGTAAAAAAATTCATTTAAAGGACATAGTAAGGCTGGAGAGTCAAGCATGCAAAAGTTAGCAAATGGCAGTATTAAGGTTACCTATGCAACCTTGGGTGTGTGGATTATAATGGTCTTTAATAACATGATCACATATTGTTTTTCAAATAAATAATAAGAAATATAAATATAATATAATATAATATAATATAAATGTGATTATGGCAATTGCCAAAACATTGTCTCAACAATGAACAAGACACAAATATTAAGGTAGTCCCTTTCCCAGAGGTTACAATATAAAATGATAATTTATTATGTATATAATTCATTATTTAGAATTATATTTATAATGACTACAAATGCATTAAAGTAATGTCACTGTAACTTCAAGATTGTACGGATAAGCTGTTTATTTTATTTTACAGTAGCATCCAGAAGGCCCCGTCCAGATTGGGGCCCCATTTTGCTGGATACTTTCCTTTATAAACGGCCTTGAAGAGCCGTGCTCCTAACATCTTACACTCTGAAGCCTTAAGTTTTCAAATGTGTAGATGCTTAGCTTTAAGCTTTTAGCTCATGCAGTAGATGCTCATGCACTAAGCGCCAGAGGTCCCAGGTTCAATCCTGCCTGCTGACAACCAGGGTCTGTCAGTGTTATACGTGCTCCAGCCTAGGGCTGTAGTAAAAGCATGAGTAACCACACTATGGTCTATACCCCTGATCCTGCTTAACTCTACTGCAAATGCCAGTTTGTTGTTGCTGTCTTGGGAAAACCTGCAAATGCAATTGCAAATGTGTGTAAGCCTATCCATGAGCAGGGCCTAAGAAACTTGAGCAGACAATGAGGGAGGAGTAGAGGCACGAAAGTTCTTGAAGGTGAGGTGATGCCAAGAAGGTGAGTAACTTGATGGGGTGAACCCGATGTGGTGAGCCAATGGAGGGATTCAAAGAGGCAGTGTAATGATGTAGACAAGACAGAAGATCACAGGAGCTATGTTACATTTGGTCCTGAGGGGGCTGGTGTAATATAGTTAATTATCTATAATATCAATAAGCATAATTTATGTAATTACTAGTAATGCTTTAGTTCTCCAAAGAGCTGCACAAGCAATCAGCCTGATATTGCAAGCTCTTCAAGCATGGAACTCCATTGAAATCAATGAGTTTTACTGATGGGAGTTCCTCACACAAAGTGCTTGCAGGATTGGGCATATTAACTAGTTCAATCCCTTCCTTTAAAAAAATGTATAACTACTCACAGGATCAACCCATCTCACTGGGAGCTTATCACATGCATTGTGGGTTATGGGGTTGGCTGAAGCTGCTTGGTGGTGTCTCAGGTTGACTGTTTTAAGCAAGAGGAAGATGAGACAGTTCAACCCTGGGACTTGTGGGAAAGCTAATTTTACTAACACAACTGATGGGCCCAATCCCGCTCCCATTGAGGTCAGTGGCAAAATTCGCATTGATGTAAGTGGGAGCTGGAGCAGGATTTAATTTTTCTTAATAAAAATGACAAAACCACAGTCTCTGTCTTGATTAACTTATTATTATTTTACTATCACACAATGAAACAAGAGATGCGGGTGGCTGCCCTGGGCCTGTGGTTGCAAATTTCTGTTAGCTGCAGTGATAATGATGATAAGGCAGCCCCTGGGGAAATCTCTCTAGGTCCCACCCCCCAAATGCAGAACCGTTGAGGATCTCTGTTGGCCTGGCCTGTGTAAACACAGGGACAAATTCTACTCTGGTGTAAATGATTGCAAGCTCCATTGAGGTTAATGGAGGTGTATCCAGAGATGAATTTGGTCTGCAATCTTCAGAGCCCTTACTCACCCTTTAGCCCCCTTTAGTGTTGGGTTTAGTTTGGCATGAGACATTTGCATATTTGAACCAGCTTCCAACCTTATGTCAGCCCCTTAGTTTTCTCTTTTTGTCTCTCGCTCTCCTAACTTGAATTACCTTGATCCTACTAACAGAGGCTGGGTTTTCAAGATATTCTCTCCAGCCCCAGAGTGGCAGGCATGCAGCCTCCACAACAGCCTTTTTGGCAGGTCCCAAACCCTTTGCTCTCACCTTACTTCTGGAACTAGCCTAGTTAGGAAGGGACCAAAATAAAGTCTTCTCCCTTTAGCAAAAACTACCAGGTTCATTTTGTAAACCCACACAGCTATTTGTATTGAGAGAGCATGACAGCAACATTTATGGGTTGGGGTCAGACATAGGGTGCCCCATCCTAAAAGGTGCAAAACATTCTCCTGTCCCACTGAAGGGAATAGGAATCAAGGACCTTGCAGGATCCAGCTGCTAAGGAATACTGAGTATTAATCATGTTTATTACCCTGGTGTCTAAGGGCCAATCAAGAATAGTGCCATGTTGTGCTAGGAGCTGTACAAACAGAGAGTAGCAGACGGTCCCTGCCCTGAAGAGCTTACAATCTAAATAGACATGACAGACACAGGGTGGGGGGATGGGTAGAACACACCAGCAGACTGAAGACGATGATGGCAGCAAATGGCATGTTAGGGCCATGATTTTTTGGAGCCAGAGGGGGCTAGTTAGGAGGCAACAAGGTGAAGGAAAGGGAAGGAGGAAAGGGAGATAGGTAGGGGAGAAGAGGGTAGGAAGACTGAGGCTGAGGTGAAAAGACTGATGGAGAGGGAGGGAGAAGGTTGGAGGAACCAGCCTATCAGCACAGAGTAGAGAAAGTCCAATCAAAACTATAAAGAGTTCTCCCAATGTGCCAAGGTCTCTGCTTTGGCTTGTTCTTACGGTTGCCAACTCTCCAGGAATGTCCAGGATTGGCTATAGCCTGGACAGCTGCTTAATGAGGATCATACTGTATCGACCAGGATGTTACCATTACGAGGATTCTACATTACATGAAAGCATTAGCCTTTTAACATTAGAAAAAAGAGTAGATCTTGACAGCTTTGGACTGCTGTACTCGTGTCTCTAAAGCAATTTCTTGTTACTCACGGTGAGTAACAACTATAATAAAGGTTTCAGAGTAGCAGCCATGTTAGTCTGTATTCGCAAAAAGAAAAGGAGGACTTGTGGCACCTTAAAGACTAACAAATTTATTTGAGCATAAGCTTTCGTGAGCTACAGCTCACTTCATCGGATATGCTCAAACTGTAACAAAGTAATGCTTACAGTAGCCACTAGTTGTTTCTGAAATGCAGGTTGTCTGA